TGCCTGGCTAATTTTTGTATTTTTAGTAGAGACAGGGTTTTGCCATGTTGGCCAGGCTGGTCTCGAACTCCTGACCTCAGGTGATCCGCCCTCCTCAGCCTCCCAAAGTGCTGGGATTACAGGCGTGAGCCACCGTGCCCGGCTGGAAAAAGCATTTATTAAGACGCTCATTCTAGATGCTTTTCCGTGCCCTCCAGAGGCTTCCTGGGATTTGGCCCCAACCCTTGCCAGCCTCACCACCTCTTCTCTGGCTTACTGTACTCCTGGTTCCCGACCCTTCTGTTTCTTCTACCCACTGAGCTCGCTCCACTCCTACAGCCTTTAAATAGGCTGTTCTTGCTGCTTGGCATGATCTTCCTCCAGATCTTTGCCTGTCTGGTTTTTTTTGTCCTTCAGCTCCTTGTAAAATGGCACCTTGTGAGAGAGGTTGTCTCTGACCCCTCAACCTAAAGTAACTGCTTCAGTCCCTCTCTATTCTGCCACCCAGCTTTATTTTCTTCATGTGCCCATCACGCTTGCCCATTTTTTTGGTGGTCACATCTCATGATGGGAGGAGCAGCATACACCAGTGCCTCATGCACAGCCTGGCACATTGGAGTTGCTCAGTGGCTGTCAAATGAGTGCATTAACAAATCATGCCAGCCACATGGACATTACCATCAATTGTTTTGATATGTCCAGCCCTGTACGAGCCATGAGGGAGCCATTGGGGACCCGGAGGTGATGACAGCTCATTGGGGATGATAAGATATGGAGATAAATAATCATACAAGGGAAGTGTTAATGAGCAGCCAAAAGATATAAACAGAACTCTGAACACTTAGAGGAGGGAAGATCGCATCCATCTTTAAGAGGATCTGGGAACATTCTGGGGAGGAAGTGGTGGTTCCCACTAGATCTGAAGAACAGGTTGGATTTTCAACAGCTGTGATGGTGATGTACTATAAAAACTTTTTTTTTTTTTTTTGAGGTGGAGTCTCACTCTGTCCCGCAGGCAGTGGTGAGATCTCGGCTCACTGCAACCTCCACCTCCCGAATCAAACAATTCTCTGGCCTCAGCCTCCTGAAAAGCTGGGATTACAGGCGCCCACCAACATGCCTGGCTAATTTTGTATTTTTAGTAGAGATGGGGTTTCACCATGTTGGCCAGGCTGATCTCAAACTCCTGACCTCAAGTGATCCACCTGCCTCAGCCTCCCAAAGTGCTGGGATTACAGGCGTGAGCCACCACACCCAGCCAGGTCACTGTAAAAGTTTTCTATGGATTAACTCCTGACAACCCAGAGAGAAATGGTTATTATCCTCATTTTTCAGCTGGAAAATGAGGCACAGAGGGGCTGTGTATTTGCCTGCGGTCACACAGCTTTTGGGTGGCACAGCCAGAACTTGAACTCCAGAGCCTGTGCTCTTTGCTGCTGCTGTACAGCTTGCGATGTCATGGAACATGACAAGTTGCAGAGAGAGGCTAGAGCAGTTGAAATGTGTTTGAGGGCAGTACTTCCCAGGAGTATTCAGGGGACCCTCAGAACAGCCCATTTAACAAATTGGTAAACAGGCTCGGAGATAATGATGCCATGGTGGCTAGCATTTGTTGAGCACCCCTT